AAACATAACATAACGTGTTTGTAAACGCGAAATAGTGACTCCTTTCCTACATTGTCCCCCTCCCCATGTTTCCGTGAGGCGTGTCGGTTAGTGCGGTCGGAGAGGGGGAGACGACCGGCGAAAGAGTCTCTCTCCGATAATCGCATTTGATCCGAGTCGCTTGTTACTTCGTTTGGAATCGCGGACATGGCTGCGGGTCCGCCCTGCTGCGGCACGCTCCGGTCCGATCTGGTCCGATCTGGTCCGATCTTGTCCGATCTGGTCCGATCTTGTCCGATCTGGTCCGATCTGGACCGATCCGGTACGATCCGATCCGGTCCGGTCCGGAGCACGATAGGGGGAAATGCATGCCTGTCATGGATCTCCCAAAATTATTCTGATTGAAAGAAATATTTATTCCCTACAACTACACACCCGAGTCTACTGCACCCGATAATCATTTTAGGTTCACTAAGAGCGAAGTTTTATGAAGACTACCGCATAGTGCTTCATGTACATTTGTATTGAACGTTTAGCTTGACCTTATGCTCTTAATGAAGTGTGAGAATCTTATGATCAGTTGCTGCAACTACGTAGCCGAAGATCGCAGGTACTCGCACTTTGTCATTGGTGTGACTAGGATTTGCTTGACTCTAGAGTGTAGTTTCTGATCATAAATTTTCAAGGCTAATATATTTAGTTTACGTACTGAAAGAGTTATTGCAATGTATTATTATTATTATTATTATTATTATTATTATTATTATTATTATTATTATTATATTTTATGAAAGAGTTTGCTTCTTTTGATTGATCCATTATTGAAGAAAAGACTTGAAGTACCGAACGTAGGAAGAAACCTGAGATTTGTCGTTCTGAATCCTCCTGAAGCAGCAGACATGAAACATAAGATTTTCACTGTGACTAAGAATGAGAGACAGACAATAAATGTTTTGAATACTGTGAAAAAGAAATTTTCAATAAACATAGAATATTCTTTTTCAAGGTATGAACAAAGAAACGGCTCTCCAATTTCAAGAGAAAAATTTGGCTTGTTTTCATATTAATACACAATCATTCGTCTTGCCACAGACACTTGATCGAATTAGATAATACAAGTGATATCTGATTGTGATATTTAAGTAGACACTTAACAAATGTTGAGAGATAATATTTTTACAATTCCAGTTAATAAAAGTGCAGATAAATTCTTACTGGTGTCACGATTGATAGAATGAGGAATCTCATATCAAAGACTTGTATAATGTAAAATTGTTGGCAAAACTGTATGTAAAATTGAAGACAAACGCCGTCTTATATAAGGTATCGTAATATAAGATTAAGCGATCCCAAAGAATTTCAATTTCCTTCGAAGAGTTCGCGGTATCTTCTTATTAAAGCACCCTCGACCCTATAAATTCTGAATTTAAGTAATGTTAGATAGATGGCTGAAGAATTTCACATTAAATCTATCTTCCCTCAGATATATGAAACTATAGAATTGCATACTCTATCAATTTATTGTCGTTTAAAAATGGCCTATTTTAAATATTCCAATTGATGTTCAATGAGAAACAGTGGAGTTGGGTTAGATGTTACAGTTGCGGATGTAGTGCTTTTAATAATTTTCCGTTATTTGCCGAGAAGGTGTGAAGTAATATCGAAGTAATATTGAAGGAGAAGCGCAGAATAAGAGTTATGATACAAAATTGGCGCACTGAAAACCCTATTGAAAGGAAAAAGCCAAGTAAGGTACCACAAATGTAATTTTGTGGTACGTTCGCCAAGTCGATGTACAAAATACTAATCTCTACCTACAGTACATGAGTCGATGGAACGGCAATGTGGAATACAAATACTGTGTTTGTCTGCAGCCTGAGCGAAATGGCTCAATGCACTCCGGACAACAACAGAGGTAAACGTAAAAACATCGTACCTTGTTTTCAAGGACGATTAAATCGGAACGGGTGACACGGATCGGGCGACACGGATCGGGCGACACGGATCGGGCGACACGGATCGGGCGACACGGATCGGGCGACACGGATCGCGCGACACGGATCGCGCGACACGGATCGCGCGACACGGATCGCGCGACACGGATCGCGCGACACGTAACGGAGCAACAAGAAACGGGCAGAGCAAAGCGGGTAAAACAAAATAGTAAGGCGAAGCGGGTAATAGGGGCTGCGTAAAACGAAACGGGTAAAAGTGTCGCGTACTTCGAACGCGTGTGTGGGCCCATTACTTCGTAGGATCGCCGCAAAGGGGCTCCGGTGGCCGATCATTCTCGTCAAGTGGTCCGAGTGAGGGGGAGGGGAGGGGGAAGTGCGCGGTGGCCGCCGCGGGCTGTGTGCAGAGAGGCTTTCGTGACTTCCCGTTCACAAGGGCCTCGGCCTCTAATAAGCCACCTGGCGGGAAGTCCAATCGCCGCGCGAGAGGAGCGCAAGAAGAGGAGGAGGCCGAGAGGGGAAAAGTGCCCGGCCACTTTGCTCTTACGGGCGAAGAACGGCCAATTACGGAACCTTACCTCCACGATTCCCCCGACCGACGGAGTTTGTTGAGGATCATGCGAGGTTTTTCTACTACGCTTACGAGAATGAAAGATCGATTTGGTTTTTCCTTTTCTGACAGAGCTTGGTGGTTCTTTTTCTTAAGAAGAATGTGAGTTCATTGCACAAAGCGAAATGTTTGGAGAACGCTGTGATCAAGGTCGTGAGCAACATTTCTACACTACCGAAAGTAAACCGTAGAAAGTATATTTGTTTATGAAATGAGAATGTATCCGATAGGAAAAAACTTTTCACTAATTTCTTGTACGGCCTTTATCACAAACATGTTGAAATAGCTGTTATATTCATTGAGTGTTGATAATTGTATCAGTGATTATATTGGAGCGTATTTGGAGCAGTGAGTTATTTAATGCAATGGAAAGCAATAACAACGTGTTTGTATGAGATAAGTGGAATAGCTTATTTGTTTTAAGGGTGTAAAGAAGATTTATGATGTTCTATTTATAAATAGGAGATACCGAACTACAGTTTTTGCTCTCGAGGACTTTAATTTGTGACATGCCATCTGTTTGACTCCTAATCACATTCTTGAGGGTAAAAGTAGATAAGTGCTATGAATTATCTATTCCCTGGAATATATATAACCCTGTGTTTTGATTAATTTCTTTGCCCTGACTGCAGTCGTTTGTAATGGACAAAGTAATATCGGTTCGGAGGACACACAATGCGCTCTTCAAAGATTCTCTCTTCCTAAAATTCAAATACAATACTTAAACCCTATTCGATGCCTCGTGCTTTGTAAAGTTGTTCTCGTTGAAGGTGCAGGTAGCTTGAGCCTCCATTGAAGAATGTATATGAATATTTTAAAAAAATATTTCTTTACATCTGACTTTTACAATACTGACCAATATAATAATTTTGTAAAGAGAGGAAAATGCATAGCGACTTCACTCCCAGCGCATTATTAATGGCGACATATTACGCTGGAACATGTCGCCCCACGCCGCCCCCAGCGATATATATAATCGAGAAAATTAATGAAAAATGTGAAGCGTTCATGAAGGCGAGAGTGTCTGATAAATTACCAATTGAGCATTTCGTCAATCAGAAGACAGAGTTTGAAATATGTTTCAAATATTAAATTGTACCAATGAAAAAATTCTTGCTGCGCTGTCACCTTGCGGCCACCACCGCCAAAAGCGCCGACATAACCACCCTCACCGCCACATCCTCACCGCCTCCACAGTCGACTGCGACAATGCGTAATCAGCAAATGATGCTTGTGGGAACGATATCGTCTTATGAAGGGCTTAGATCGCATCATAGGACAACAAATAAGAGAAAAATGACGTGATGGCAACAATTGTTTTTGCGAACATTTAAAACTCATGCGCCCTCCTTTCCGTAGTTGGATGCGTATATCAATTTCGGCACTCACCAATAAGATGAAAGTGTGGTCACTGGGGGAAAGGTTCCCTCACTAATTTGCTAGAAAGACAGTGTTACAATGATTAATAATAATGACGGCTGACGGCTCATTAAATAAAAAATGTATCATATTAACCGTAAAAAGAATACATTTATTTAGATCCTCGTGCACGTACATCTCATTATTCATCATTAATTTTTAATTTTGAATCGCTTTCAGAGCTTCAAAATACATTCATTTGTGGTGGGCATCATTAGTTTTCATTAGCTTCATCTTTTCATCATAGATAAATGGATGTTTCTTACATACAAATAATCCGCATAATTTTATCCGCAAATGGATTCATTTTCACGGATTATGTAATTTAAATTTTACCATTTGTTTCTGCCAAGATATTTCAAAGTTGTCAATGGGCCCTTGATTTTCAGTTGTTTAATAAATATTTGTACCTTGAGGTAAATAGTCTAGAAATTTTCATAAGGTATGAGTGTTACAAGCAGTTCATCTTTCTGTACAGATATCAAATTCCCCTCAATACTCTGCATTATTAAGGTCTTCGTATGAGCAACCTGCGATAAATGTGCAAATACTAAAGATTAATGTCGTTCTCTATCTGGGTCACTTGGGGATTTTATGAAGGACAAACGACGAAATAGGTTCTGAAAAACGATTCTTTCCTGTTTCATTGCCAAATATGGAGTATCCTCAAATTACTCTTCTCGAATGTTTAAAAGTAAATACAATGCATGTAGCATATAATATGAGTGTCATCGTGCATTCTAGGCGCTTAATCTAAATTTTATTTTAATTTTATTTCGGACGTTTTGGAATTACCTTCGCTTATTCTGTGCGTGCGCGTTTGTGTGTACAAAAATATTTTTATGTTAGTTATAAACTGGTGATTTCAATTTGTCATTTATATTAACAATTTGCCATTAATTTTTATTCTGAAAGTATTTATTATATTTCTCATATTCTACCTATAAACAAAAGTGCTCTCTATGTACTACATTTAACTACATCTATCTAACATATACTACATCTATTTTATATTTAACTAATTATGTTTTCTTTTGTAGGTAAGTTGCTGTTTGTACCGATTGCCCTCCTGGAAACGAGATATTTGAGAACGTGACGTCTGATACGGTGAGCTAAAACTTAAAAATATATTTGTGAAGGTTGTTACAAGATTTGGGTGAATTTTGTGCTGTAGGAAATAGGTAAAACGTAGGAAAAAATTAAAATGTTATTTTCACTGACTTGTAAGTATTTAAATATTTTTAAAATTGAAAAAAATATTTTTGCGTTCTTTTATTTATTACGAATGGTTCATGGGGTTAAATAAATTTAATTTTATGTCGTTCTTTTGAAAAAAATATAAGAAAAGAATGCCATTTTATGCAATAATACGGAACAAACTCAATGCGTATTTCAGGAAGTGGTTCTTTGGCCTTACTGCACTTTTTTTAGCGAAATTTTGTGTTTTCCTCCAGTTAGGATCTATGGTTCGTATGTCAAAATTCTACCATTTCAGAAGTGTGATGACTATGGAATGAGTTAGTGAATGTGAAAAAATCCTCCAGCTCCTCTATCATCCCAAATTACGAAATATAAACGAGGTATTGTAGCAGCCATATTCGGAATATTTACGATAATCGCAGTAAGTTAGGCAAGTTCAGGTTAGAAGCCATTTGTCACGAAAATCTGCAGATCTATTACCAAACTTTCATGTGAAACAATGAATCATACTCCAATAAGAGACAACGAAAATGGATTCTATATAAATCCGTGATGCATCGCCAGCATATTGTGATAAATGTTCTGGTAGTTATATCTGGGAGCTGAATCATGTATTGAGGGAGACTTACTCAGCAAGTTTAACGATCTTCCCATTTTATTTCTGGGAATTAAAAAAAGGTGATGGAAAATGTGCAAAACGTGAATTACAATACGAAGAAAATAGTCTGCATTGAGGACGTATTAGAAGTATGTAGTGACGTGCAATAAATCATGTATATTTTGCTTGTTCTATGATGAACACGTTTCTCATTCACTTCCCTTGAAGATTAAAAGTTACTGTTTTAAGATGCTTCAATTTCTGTCTCATTAATTTCTAGGTATCATTAAGGCATCTCTTGGTCGCTGCTCGTCTAATTGCAGCTATGAATACATAATGCACTAAATGTAGCGTTTGAGTGTTTACTTATAATCTAGGTTTGATTTGCAAGCAGGTGGCAAGAGAGTGTAATACGAATCTTTGAACTCATTGATTACTTTCTAGGATTTATTAACTCTATTTTCGATGCGAATAAAATGCCAAAACGAAAGCGATGTATGGTTGCAACTACTTCTACCATCAGTTCTGGAGGTGCATGAAGTACCAGAAGGGAATGTATAGTTGAAAAAACTCCTACCAGTGCCGCTTTTGTTGCCATGGTTATAACGTTCCCAAAATGATACAAAATTACTTCAGGAGCTCACTCAATTGTCTTTAAAGAATAAGAGAAGACCCAACGTTTTTTGCGAAATGTTTTTTTTCTAACTGGAGTCAAACCGAGAGAAATTTCTGGGTAACATTGTTGCCACTTCAGTGTCTTCGACCAAAAATTCCTAAGTTCGAGTCCCGATGCTGCTAGTTTTTTTTACCCTAGCTCGAATTCACTCACTGTCTTTAGAGGAATTCTAGCAGCGGTTGCCGTGACCTGTAGTTTTAAGTGGTTTCTATGATGAATAAGCGAATGCCTGAGAAGTACCTAAAACGTTCCATGAACCGTGCGTATTCTATCCGTCATTACCTTGTTAAGCCAACGATAGGGCATCGAAATCCACGCCCACTCGTTGTGAAAAGACGGTAACGACCTTGTCGCTCACTTTGGCGACCCGACAATCAAAGGCGCTCCACGAAACGAGTTGTAGCCTCATCAAGGAGAGACGGGTGGTTGTCAGCTGCTGCTTAGCGAAGGGCGCGGCGAAAGCGAGGCGAGGGAGCCGCTCGGTCCACGATTAGCACCAACGATGCGCTGAGTACTGCTCCTACCTAGCACATCCGTCGGGATAGATATCTGGAAAAGGTCGAATAAAAATCTGGTACTTCGAAACAGGATTTGAATCCAAGTAATCAACAGCACAGTGTCATTGAAATGTAGACACGACCTCTCTGGAAGGAAGGTCACTTCGGTATCGATGAGATTCGCACCGATGTAGGTGGTTCAGGGCATCAATTAATGTCTTTACAAATGCCCAATGTCAAATATTAAAAGTACATCGGAAGCTGGGGTTCAGGATGTGAATACAAGAAAGCAACAGCTTGATTAGCCAACGGCGTCAGCGAAATCCAGCCCCTAAGCATGTGGCCGTGATCGCAGCGAGACGCCGCACATACCTGCAGCCCGCGCCAGGGCCAGACGCGCCGCCGCGCCGTCAGCGTCTGCTTAGCAAAGAGGCGGCGCGGGGGCGGGGCGGGGGAGGGGACGGCGCGGTGCGCGCGATTAGCGCCAGTGAGTCACTGGGCCGGCGCGCCTGTAGCCCCGCCCGCCCCCGCGCCGCCCCCGCCCCGCCCGCCGCCCCGCCCGCCCCGCATCGCCCTCCGCTCGCCCCCAGCCCGTCCCGCCCGCCGCGCACGCATCCCCGCGCCCGCCCCGCCCCGCGCCCCCAGTCCCGTCCCGCCCCACCCCCCCGCCCCCGTCCCGTCCGACCCAGCCTTACCCGCCCCCGTACCCGTCCCCGCCACGTCCAGCACCGCCCGCCCGCTCTCCGCCCCCGCATCGCGCCCGCGCGCCTCCGCCTGCCCCCCAGCCCCCGCGCAACCCTCCCGCCCCGCCGCCTCTCGCGAGCCGCCCCGGCCTCGCCCCCGCGCTCTGCACCCCCGCCCGCGATGCGCTGCCCCTCCGCCGCGCCGCCCCATCCCCGCCCCGCTTGCCCCTCACCGCGCTTCCCACCTCGCCCCCGCTCGCGGCCCGCAACCCGCCCAGCCCCGCCGGCTGCGATCCAGTGCTCCGTGACCCCGCGGTTCGGGCCTGCTCGCCCGCGCCCGCCCCGCCCGCCCCGCCCCGCCCCGCCCCCCCCCCAGTCCCGTCCCGCCCCAGCCCCACCCCACCCCGCCCCGTCCCGTCCCGTCCCGCCCCATACGCCCTACGTCCGTCCCCCGCCCCGCCCCCACGCTGGCGCCACCCCGCCCCCGCCCGCCCCCGCGGCGCGCCCGCCCTCCCCGCCCAAGCCTTGCCCCGCGCCGCCGGCCTCTCGCGAGCCGCCCCGCCTCGCCCCCGCGCTCTCCCCCGCGCTCTGCCCACCCTCCGCGCGCCGCCCATCCCGCCCCGCCTGGCCCCTCACCCGCCCCCACCCGCCCCCCGCTCGCAGCCTCCCTTTCGGCGCAGTGGATCGCTGGCGCTGCGGACAGGCTCGGGCCTGCCTCTGCCGCCGCCCCCGCCCCCGCCCTCCGGATTCCACCTGGCCGCGCATGCGGTGGCCTGCACGCGCAGCGGCACGCCAAGGCCCCCGCCCTCGCAGCCACGTGTGTGCGATCGAGTGTTGCTCCGCAATCGGAATGGTCTACGCAGAGGGTCGTCCATAAATTACGTAACGCTCAAGAGGGCGGCAGGGGGTTTGAGGTAGCGTTAGCCTGCGTTACATCGGAGTGGAGGGGTAATCGATTAGTGTTACGTAACACTGATAATTTTTTTTAAAAAATCAACATTTGCTGAAATAATCCCTTTTTTGAGTGTTATACAAAAACATAAAAATATTAACTCATTATTTTGCATTCAAACTTCCATAAATTAAAGTTATTAGATGTAAAAGGTTACCATAAATGAAAATATTTTTAACCAGTTTTTCTTGAATTTGTAAGATTAATAATGTAGAAAATATTAAAAATTGATTAGTATGCAGGTATTTTAGAATCCATTTAAATCAGTGCAGTACATTAATTCCCACTTTAAATATCGTAAATTGTAATATATAGCACAAATAAAATGAATACAAATTGTGTTTACTGTATTATAATATATTTTTATGTCTTGCATTTCTAAGGGGAAGTTGTCGTATGCGTTACGTTAATTTTGTCAAGCGCGCGTTACAGGTGCGTTACATGGGGGAGAGGGGGTATTCAAAAATATTCGAAATTTGCGTTACGTAATTTATGAACAGCCCCTAGATAAATATATTCTTGCCCAACTAGTGGGCATTGTAGTGTTACATTCTTACATCTTTTTACATTCACTAGTATCTATTGGCGGTAGTAATAGAAAATGTGTTCTAGCTTTAGTCTTCTTTACGTCTCTAATCTAATTTAATCACATTTCATCTCATTCATCCTCTCTCTCTTTCCGTTTCCTTCCACTTCTTCATCGCCCACTCTTACGCCTATTCGTCTCTTAGTCTTTTTCTCCTCCTCCTCCTCCTCCTCCTCCTCCTCCTCCTTCTTCTTCTTCTTCTTCTTCTTCTTCTTCTTCTTCTTCTTCTTCTTCTTTTTCTTCTTTTCCTTCTTTTTCTTCTTTTCCTTCTTTTTCTTCTTTTCCTTCTTTTTCTTCTTTTTCTTCTTTTTCTTCTTTTTCTTCTTTTTCTTGTTGTTGTTGTTGTTGTTGTTGTTGTTGTTGTTTGTTAGTTATTTCATTGTTACTAATGTGTCAGTGTTGCTGACTCAAGCCTGATTGGGAAGAAAATGGGTTAGCTAATATTTTGTCTAGATATGAATTACCCCACATTGCGCGTGTTGATGAAATGAATTTAATAAAATTGTACACATCAACCATTTCAGACACAACGGTATTGAGTTCCGGAGATTCTGTATATTTATTCTTTCATGTAATGGCAGCCAATATTTAATTAGTGGTGAATACTGTAAGGAAGAGGAATTAGACGAATGCTACAAGTGAAAATCTGTGAAATTCAAAAAGCTATAAAATATTCATTAGATTGAAAAAATATCTATCTTTCATAACAAATCTTGAACTTGAAAAACTCAACTACAGCTTTTCAACTGTTAACACAAATATTATTCATTAATAAATTATTGCACTCTGACTCTTGAGTTAATAGATATATTTCAGATCTCGAATCCCAAATCCTATAGTAACAATTTCGATGTCCACTTGAGTTCCTTAGGAGGAAATGTAAGATAAATGAAGACAACAAACGTGGTGGATCGCATTGAACTTTTTGAATTGAATGTACTTCTTTAAATAGGAGCGGCACAATCGAATAAACTAAAAGTATGCTTTGGACATCCTCAAGCAAAGCATTTTGCCACAATTTTTTACATCCATTTATTTCACGAACATTACTCTAAAAACACTCCT